TTTGATACTGTCAGATTTGATCCTCCGTTACTGCAACTGTTACGTTAAGTAATCCATGAAAAAATTGTTGTCAATAAAAATCAAGCATTTTAAATAAATTAAGAGAGGTGAGAAAAGATAGGAGAAGTTCTGACTGACTGAATAAAAAAGTAATATAAATATAAAGAAAAAAAAAGGCAGCAAAATAAAAAAATACAAAAAAAAAAGAGAAGATGACTTCAAGTTTGAAGTTATTTAGCAGAAAAAGAAAGATTCATCTATTTTACTGATCATTCATCTGCTTGTTGATACTTATGGTTGCCATCAGAAGAAAGAAAGCTATAGGTTATATCAGCTTCTTTAATTACCCGTTTCAATTAAACAGCTTTTTCTAAAAAGATTTGCTATTGAAAAAACCACTTCAGTTGTTCAAATTACTCAGTTTTTTTTCCTTTACTTTTTTCTTTTTCTTCTTTGTACTTAAAAGTTTTTTTTTGTTTTGCTTTGCTTTACTGCTTACGCAATAAAAATCATTCAAATCATTACTGTTCATTAAATTTTCCAGCTAATTCTTTATTTTTCCTCTATTTTGACGAACATAAATCATTGAGATGAAATTTATACTCTGTATTATTGTTGACAGGTTCTTGAGCAGGAAAAAATGATGATATTAGAAGAAAGAAAAAGAAAAGAAAAAGAAGAAATAATGAAGAAAAAATAAATTAGTTAAATATAAACAAACTGATACCTATTGTAATTGATTTGTTGCTAACTTTTCTTCCACTCTTCCACCTCTCTTAGTTAAAGTTCATTTTTAAGCAACACTAAAATAAATACTAAAAAAAATTTTGAAGTTGGTACTCCTTAAAACTCGTCGTGCACAAATTTCTATCAACAATTTTTGTGATAAAAATTTCGTCAATCTATAAATCATAAAGATTCAATTTATTTATTTGTTGTACAAATTTTTTTTTGCTTTGTTTGAAATTATTGCGTTTAACCAACCATAATTTAAGACTAAAAACTTAACAACTAATTGGACTGTCTAATCTCAATGATAATTTTTGTTTTTCCTGGTTTTTTGATTGCTTAAAATATGCCATTGTTCTTGATAATCAGAAAGAAAGAAGCCCATACAAAAAATACAAAGTGTTTGACATAAAAAGTGAGATATCTGAAATGGTCTAATCTATTGACTATTTTTGACCCTATTAAAAATCATAAAAGTTTGTTCATCTTTCTGTTCATCAGATTTTGCTGCTATGTAGCGGTACTTTATAAAATTTCGGCTATTAACGTTCTCTCAGTTTTACAGCAATTCTAGTTCAGTTTTTTGTAAAAACACAACAAGAAAGAGGTCAAGAAAAATCCTTCTAAAACATCGTCCTTACCAGTAACAAATTTGAATTAGTTCAGCTGAACTAAGAATACGAGAATCATAGAATAAGTTTACTTATATAAATTCCTAGAATAAGCAACTTCAATTACAG